TACATAGTTTGCAGATAGACACTTTGTGTCGGAAATATAGTCAGTTTTACTGAGTTTGAATTACATGGCGTATCAACGTCCGTGTATCTTCTGGTAGACACTACTTCAAACATTTATTTATTTTGAAGAAATATAGTAAGTTCGTACGTAGTAGATACTTACAAAACTTTTCAACAGAACTTTCGAAATATGTGTGTAATTAAAAACGTCCTTCCCTAATATTTATCGGCACTACGACCTGTTTTTGTTGCTCTTCGATTGAAGCTGAACAAGAAACGCAAAGAATTGTGAATTGTTGCGTTCTGTATCATATCCAGGACTTAATTAATTGAACAAATCAAATCACTTTAAATCTGAGTAAATGACAGAAGTGTTAACATTTACCACTGATTGAATAGGATAACCACGTGTAAATTTTTATATTGAGATGTATGTGATTAAAAACGAATCCGCAGAATTTTACACGGAACTCGATTAATTATAACCAAATATAAGAATTTAATGCTAGGTTGAAAATCTTAAATAAAAAGAATTTACCGGAAAAGGGAAAAACTACGTTCCTTACGAGGTAATCATTTGTATATACCATATAATATTTATCATAAGTTACTAATCAAACTGTAGACTGGACAATTTCCTGTTACTGTTCATAAAGGCCAAAATATGCACAATTAAAAATGAATAAAAAAAATTGACACATCTTGCTTCTCAATAGATAAAAATATTATGATGAAGTTGACTACATAATTCTTGGATGAATAAATAGAAAAGCGAAAAATGATCTGCAGATATAAAAAATTATACCCAGATAGCACCGTACATCCAGCGGACGTTCGTTTCATGTCCAGTTTATATCCGAATATCGTACGTGCACTTTGGACATCTCTAGGATGTTCTCGAGACTTCAATTTCGGATGTTCGTACATCACATAAACGTTCCATTAAACGTAAGAAAGAAAGCGTTACGATACGAGAGTGGACAAAAGTTTCGCAAACTAGAAGTTTAATACTAATTATTCAACTTAATTACATGCTGGTCAAAGGAAGTCTGAAAATAGATACCAAAAACGTTGTACAGGAAGCAAGTATGTATTACTATTAAGAAAATCATGATCAAAAAGATGCTACAAAAATACAGACACTTCCTCAATCAAAAAGTATCTCACAATTGGTCTCATCGAACATGTACGATAGGCAACTGAAAAACACGAGCACCACATGGCGATTTGTATCTAAAATGAATTTTAAAAGAGGAATAAAGCAATGTACCATGTACAGCTACAAACATAGAGGTAAGAAGTATACATATAGGAGAAATGTTGTATTGATACGAAACGAAGTACACTAGATCGCATTTTTTGTCAAATATTAACGATTAATTGTGAACATATGTACATGATCTCATGGTTTTATTTTAATTTAATGTACTCTTTTTCTTTTGAACTTCGTTGTTTTATGTGTATCCAGATATTCAACAAACTCAAAAAATCAAGTAAAATGATTATAATTGTAAGGAAAGCTATAAAATTAAGGAAAACATAAAAAATGTAACATTTACAATAAATTATTATTCTCAACATTCAATGACCCATAACACTTCACTTCAAAATGTATTATTTTTTTATACATATAAGATATGATAATACCTATATATTTATATTTTTACAATACTCCGTTAGTAGACTGCGGATATATTATGCATTTATAGAATACGTAAATGTACAGAATAAAATAAATAAATCTCTCGTAACGGGCAATAAAAAGTGTTTAATTGACTCCTATAATAATGAAAATCTAAAAATAAAGTCAAGTTTTCTTATAACATATTAAAATTATAATTTGAAACGGTAATGTTTCATAAAAATCCGCAGTTTTTTATTAATAATATCAACCTTTAAACTGTGAACAATAAAAAAGTTACAAATGTCATAGACAGATAAATCTCTTGAAGCTACTGAGCAATGTCTACTACAATAAAACTATTATAGCGCGTTTAATTACAAGTTTCTCATTATCCCAGCATTTACTTCATATAACATTATTTACGAGAATTCAAATATCATGAATATACCTTTTAACGATAAAAGAAAAATCAGTGGCAAAAAGTTTAATCATGATTCAGGATAATTATCGCTTCGCATTTACCCCCAAGAACAAAAACAAAACCATAACGAATATTGACGTATGAGAAAGTGGGTGGTTACCACAAAACAAAAAGACAAATAACAGAAACATTAATTGAGATATAATAGAGCAAAATGACTTGATGAGTTCGTGTGTACTTTCTAATTAATCGTATCACGAAAGAGAATACCTTCTCATGAGTTTCCGTTACCCTAATTCGATCACAGATTTTAACGTACTCCGTAAATCTGGGAAATTACGATGAACACAATGAAGATAATGATATATGCTTCAGAATTTTCATCAACATCCCTAGGATGTTCTTAAGAATTAAATTTTGAATGTTCTAGAAACGTCCGTCCCGAAAGTCCTACAAATGTTCTCAAGACTTAAATTTCACATGTTCTAGGATTGTCCGCTTCTTAAATCTTACGAATGTTCGTAGGATCTAAATTTCGGATGGTTTTGTTTAGTAGTTTTGGCTCTATGTCATTCCGTACGAGTGATGGAACCCCATGAGCAAGGTGTCATTCTTTAGAGTTTAGAGAATCAGTAGAGAAGTATAACGACACTAGTGGTTTTGTGCGGAGACCTCAGGAAATTTGACAAAAATATTTTTTTCTTAAACTGTCTCTAACCTACACTGAATCAGTATTTTTTATGAATCAGTGATTTTTTTTTTTTAACTATCTCTAACCAACATACAATCAGTACTTTGTTTTGAAAGTAAGAATAAACACAATGTGCACACAGATAATAACCCACAGACTTATATTTTTATTATAATTCCTTATAGGAAATTTAAACTTTTATTAACAGGAGCTAACTTGATCTAATTTGTACTAAGTGCGGAAATCGCAAGAAAGTTGACCTTTTATTTATTAAACACAAACCAACCTAACCTAACTTCTATCACCTTGCACAGAATGAAATCTCACCGTAATTTTAAACACTTGCGAAACATTTCACATTGTAAATAGAACCTTCGTATGTACGACATTTAAAGGTCCAAACGAGGACGTAGAGGGGCGGGGCACGTGGACCTTTTCGGGACATCCTCCGAATGTACCGAACGTCCGGAACGTGCGTCCATCGGACGTGCTAGGACGTTTTTGTGCTATTTGGGAAGGCTCAAACGATAAGGAGCATGCAACAATGCGAAGACGAAGAGCACAACGGAACATACATATACACGCGATCAACGTTCATCTTCCGTGCTTGCATCGCAAAAAAACAGTTGTATTAACCATACGGTACAATGAGACCTGTAGCTCAATGAACTTGTACACTTTTCTTCTACTTAATTATTCGTTACAACAACTCATTACACCACAGGATACAGGATACTTATCTCGAATGAAATCATAATAATATCGTGCACTTGTTTTTAATAAAACAAGTATATTACTTCAATTTGAAAAGAAATACCGCACGCTATAGTCTATGAGTTTTCTTTTAATATACCATTTCTTATTCTTTACTGGCATGATAAGCCACCCGAAAATATCAATGCTCTTACAGTTTTTATTCTATGTATAAACTGTCGCATGTAATGTGTTTCGTAAATACCCTTGAAACACAGAGTGCTCTAACGAATACGTGAAATTATGATTTCGTCTGCATTTAATCTCCCGCATGGAAAGTTATCCTTTCACTGATTGTAAATTGTCAAACAATATTTACTGTTGTAAATGTAAATGTCGATAACAGATTATCTCTTTATATGAATTTTTAGAGAACAACTAGATAAATTTTCAGCATGCAAAATCATCGATTTCTACACATGTACCTAAATTTTTTTAATAAGATTTCACAAGTATACCATTGCACGCATTTCAAAGTCAATACTGTCTCGTACTTACCATTCTGGAGCGCGAGTTCGTTTATGTGCGAGTATGTATCGTGTGCGCCAGTATATCACCTAAAACCGCTGTCTACTGCAGTCCAACCTAGGCATGTCTACAAGCCAGCTGGTAATAGGAGTCGGCAAACAGTCGTCGACGAATTTGTTGCAACCTAAAATCACTGCTGTTGTTTGACACACAGTCAACACACAAGATCACCACAAGTAATAAACACACACACACGCCTCCAGCACTCGTGAAATCACGCGTATGTGAGGGCGCACACTCGCACGCACTGCTATATGGTCCGCACGCGAAAAGTATGATTGAACGTTTTTCCAGCTAACCGGGCACCAAGAAATCACCAATTCAAAAATAATCGATTGGATAACGGTTTTGTTGATCATTGATTAAAAACAACCGACTGATAGTATTTGTCCCCGTACATTTCGAATTTTTGTTTTCAATCTTTTTTTCGCGCCTTTTTAACGAAACGCTAAGAAGTCACGTGCAAGACGAACGGAATAAGCGATGGATTTTCAACCTGGCAGACACCGACTGAGCTCTCGACCAGCAGGTAGGTGAGCCATTGCCCCTCCACCGGACTCACCACCACGGCCACTCACCATTCTCCATTCTCTTTTCCTTTGCTTCACTTAGCTTCGTCTTGTTCTTTCATCTTTCGCGCTCTTGTACTCTGCATTTTGACGGTTGCGCAGCTGGTCTGTTATTCCATCCATACGGACGAACCGCAAATCGGGATTTAATATGATATTCATGTTAGAGAGATATGTCACTAGCCTCAATATGGTTTATACTTTATTTTCCCAGTTATAATGATAAAATACAATTATGCGATCCTTGTTAAAGTAAGAAAAACTTATCGTTATATCATACACGCAATTACAGAAGAAATTGTGATAGATACTTAATTAGACTATCGATGGAACATGGTTGAAATATAGATATACAATAGGTGTACAATGCATGTTTAATATTTAATCATAATTACTTTATTTATTTCATATACATTCATTGTAGAGCAATAACTCCACTCTTGCTATCCTGTTCTTCTTCGTCATCTTCTATTGCTTTCTGAGCCTCCTTAGGAAGATACTGTTCAAAATCAATTTTAAACTTCTCTCGCGATGGTAAACTCGTAATACGAACTCTAAAAAATTTTAATATATTAGGTATTTATAAAACTTTTATGGTGTAGCCACTGGTGATGCATTCCAAAAGCATTATTCATTTCAATTACGTAAATATAAGAACTCTTTTAACAGTTTGAATGCCGCGCAGCACGATTATGCTGTCCGCATTCCATGTCGAAAAGTGCTACGACGTCGGTCCGTGAGATTCAACTGTATTAGCAATAAAAAAAAACTTAAAGGGCAGTTTTAGATTGTTAAACACAAGTACTTTCACAAATTTATAACCGCAGGAATGTTAAATTTTACCTAATCAATCATGGAACTGCGATCACTGTTATGAAATAGTATTTTTTGACCGAAAATGAAAGAACCGCGTATCACGTCGCACTTCTCGATTAAATTTCTACATTGACCCGCATCACTCAAACGGTTAAGTACCTTTGGATAAATGATGCATCACTTTTTGGTTTCACTGATTGCACATCGTTAATAACAGCGCTAAAATTTTCCTGTAAGTGTCTTAGATCCATATTAAGCTAAAAACCAAACAATAAATATCATTAAAAAATTGGTTACAAATAGACTCAGAATACAATAAATTTCATACATTGAAAAATTATTAAATTGAAATTTACCGTGCCAAAAGGAAAATCAATTATACCATAAGCTTTATAGGTATTGTCTTGTACTAAAGAATATCCTATTCCATCCTTAAACTTTTTAACAAGTTGGCCAATATTATTACTCAAAGTACCTGAAACATAAATTTTTATTTTAAGTCGTGTTAATAAAATAAGTAGTGTTATTCAACAAACTTACCTCCTTTCACATTTGGAAATTTCTTTTTTAATAATCCTCTAATTAACAATAAATCAGGTAAAATATTACTTGAATTTGTTTGATGAGTTCGACACCACCAACAAAGTTAGCTCCAGCTTTAACAGCAGCATCATGAGCATTAGCAGTTTTACAGAATGCTAATATTGTTCTATCTTCTTGTAGAGCAAATGGATGAGGTACTTCTACTATTCTTGAAATTTTGTCAAGGTATTTTTTTTTGTCATACTGTTATGAAAATCAGAGAAAAAACTTTTTAAAAAAGTGCTCATACATTAAATTAATAATTATGGATTTTTCAATCCAATTACAAATGTATGATGGCTTACATGCAAATTTAATTCAATAAGTGCATTGATATGTGCGTTCGGTAGATTGAACACAGTGGGATGATGTGTTTCACGATGAAATTCTATAGCCTCTTGTAAAGAAAAAACTGGTCTTCGATGATATTTTATGAGCCATACATTATCAACATGTTTCCTTCTCCAAAAATCATGTAGCATTATAAATGGAGAAACTCTTTTAATTTCTTTCTCAGCACTATTTATCAATAAAATTATTACATTATAGAATTGCAATACAGTATTGACAATTATAAAAATTTTAATAAAACATACTCACTCTTTCTTAAATTTGTTAGCAGGGACAAATCCAACTTTTTGAACTGCTGCCTTTACTTTTTTCTTTCTGGCTTTTTCCCTTGTACCTTTTCTAGCTGCATAATTTCGTGATTGTACAAATAAACAAGAGTACACGTTGCATCCAGCTATGTGACTGTAAGTCGAACGAAAACTGTTTATCAGCCATCCTACAAATAATAAATAAAAATTATGAAATAATATACTATAGTCGAGCTGTACTATCAAAAGTTTCGTATGAGGTTATAAACAGTTATTGCATATACTACGTAAATGATTTTATGTCACATGTTTTATTAGAAAGAAAATAAATGAAGTTATTATTATTGATAGCTCTGGTTTCTCGTAAAGGAAATTAATTATTGGTAAGAAAAAATATAATCGGGATCCTACCTGCCGACATGATCACTGATCGCTGCTGATCGCAGCTTAGAAACCAGACAACAAAGTTACTAAATTCATTAATCATATGCTAGGGACATTGTAGTTCTAAATAACACATACAGAATGACAATTAAAACGTTCAATATTAACGCATATGAATTATCCTACATATATATTTTTTAAATATGTATATACACTAAATTATTATACATACTGCATACACTAACTGTATATGCTTTTACGTAACGTTAAAGTCAACATGTGACGATTGATAGTGTAATCATAAAGTATAATTATTTAACCGAAGGAGGAAAGGAACAAACACACGATATATGTATGTTCGAAATGGCAGGTTCAAGAATTGAATAAAATTAGAAGTAATTGACCTTAAAATCCGCGCTTATGAAACAGCACTATTCATGCAGTATGGCTGACGGAAGTAGACGTCATCAGTGCCAACTGCCAGCCAACCAAGCTCGTTGAAGCTGCGCTTTCTGTAAGAGGAAAAGCACTCTTTCTTTGCTTCTGCATCTCGTGTATTTTTTCGTGTTGGGTACGTTAGTCCAGTGACGAAGTAACAGGTTTTACGTAGTTATACAATGCGAACTCTTTTTTGACCCGCCTATAATTTTGCATTTCGGTGGTGGTGAACGAAAGATTGTATTACTGTTATTAGTGGGTGAGATCTGGTGAGTCTGTCGCATGTAATTGTAATCGTGTACTGTTCATATGCTACATTTTATTTTTGCCTCCAAGTGTAACAAATGATACCGATTTTTTATTTATTTTGGCATAAACATTTACTAATGTTTTTTGTTATTCTTTGATTTGGTGCAATATGTTTTTCTATAATTTCTGTATTTATTGGGCTACACTAAGTTACAAGAGTTCAAAAAGCTTGCTTGTATCATGCCATTATATACAGATGATAATCTTGTCAACTCACTGTTGTTGCAGAGTCATTCAGTAGTTAGAATATAGTGTACGTGACATCCATTCCTATCTATCTACAAATATGTTCATTTGGGACTGGTTCGCAGGAGTTTTAAATTACCTTGGTGAGTGCAGGTTTTATATTTTCTTTTGAAATATAAATTTAATTTATTATATGTACGTTTATATACTTGTTGCATTGGATGTTATAATTTAACAATGAATGCAGATGAAAATTATTCTTAATATTATTTGCATTATATCATATATTATTTCCTTTAATTTATTATTTTTAGGACTTTGGAAAAAAAGTGGTAAGCTACTGTTTCTTGGTCTGGACAATGCAGGCAAAACCACATTGCTTCACATGCTCAAAGATGATCGACTAGCACAACATGTGCCTACATTGCATCCAAGTAATTAATATTTATTATGATTTATTGCTATGTAGAATTAAAAATTATATTTTCTATACATATAATAATTCTACATCATTATAAAGATTTATATTATTTTACAATTTATAATTTTGCTCTATTTAGATAATTAGTTAATAATTTTCTAACTTCTAGGTTCTTATTAGTCACTGATTACCTTCAGTTTTGTATCTTTTAATAACACGCATATTTTTTTGTTTCAGCATCAGAAGAATTATCTATTGGTAATATGAGGTTCACAACATTTGACCTTGGAGGGCATCCTCAAGGTATAGTTATTTGTTCTACTATTTTATAAATTTTAGATTCAATGTATAATGTCAGATTTATAGAAATAAATAACACATTATAGCACGAAGAGTTTGGAAGGACTACTTCCCAGCTGTGGATGCTATAGTATTTCTAGTGGATGCTAGTGACAGGTCAAGGTTACCAGAATCAAAAGCTGAGTTCGATGCATTGTTAACTGATGAACAACTCAGTGCCTGTCCAGTTTTAGTGCTAGGTAATAAAATTGATAAACCAGGTGCAGCATCAGAAGATGAACTCAGAAATTATTTTAATCTGTATGGTCAAACAACAGGCAAGGTATGCAAAATAAGGAAAAAGTTGTATTTTATGTATTATGCATAAATCATTAAAATGTATGAATTTTAGGGAAAAATTTCTCGTAATGAAATACCTGGTCGCCCATTGGAACTGTTTATGTGCTCAGTGCTAAAAAGACAGGGATATGGTGAGGGCTTCCGCTGGCTCGCTCAGTATATTGACTGAATACATACGATAATTTAAATGCTCCAATTCTCAGCAGTTTATTACATTTCCCTTTCATTGATTCATACTGGACACCAGTCCCAAAGGTGTATTATCCTTTACGTGAATTGTGCAGTAGGAAAGGAATATCAAGACATGAACTGCAGTAACAGATTCAAAACAGTGCAAACAAATAAACAAGACAATGTCTTAAAAACACTATATAAACACGCGATACGACTCATTTGTTTAATTTTAATGTGTGGAGCGTATAATAACATCCTACAGGAATTTATTAAATTCCATAAAAGTTCTGTGGACTTCTATTGTTTTGCAAATCATATTATGGAAGCACTTGACATGCTGAAAGATGATACAAACGTTTTGATAAATAAAATAATAAAGTATTTAAGAATTTCAAGTGTTTCTCAACATTATTTTTTATAGGATAAATTTTTTTGTTTGAAACATTTTGCATATATAATGATATTATTAAATACAGGAAAATACTTATTTATATATACACATTTCTTTTCAAATTTATTTCTGTGCACTTTTAAGTAAATTGAAAAATTTAGAAGGAACTTGCATTCATATATTTGTATTTTAAAAATGTCTACGAACATTGTAGACAATGGGGTACAGTTTGGTCTTCATAAATTTATATTGCTTGTTAATGAAGATTATTATTGGGTTTAAAGTTAGAAACATCAACAACGCAGCTTGACTAAGAGATGGAGGAAATTAAATACATTTCATCATAAAATTATTGATACATACCACATTTTCGTAGAAAGTTTTTAATATGTCAGTAAAGAGACTTTATAAGTAAACATAAATTTGAATCAAATTATCTCTAGTTAAATAGAAATTACCGTGTAGATTTATTGTATAGCTCTATTTATGTAGGTATATTTGCTTTTAGAAAATTAACATAATTAATGTTTTGAACATTAAATTTTTTATGTGTCAATACAATAACTCTAAGTACTTATGGTGTTCTGCTCGTTATTTTACATAAATAAAGTATGTTGTTTTGTATTTAACACGATTTGTTTTATATTACGCAGGTTCCTTATTAATACTCTACATTTACAACCTGGTATTACACGTAGGTATCAAATTGGTATTATATTAATTGATATAAAACCTATTAAATGCAGAACAATATTATTAACAAGATTTTAACAGTGTAAAATATAATTTTACAATAAGAAAGTATAAAGTACTAAAATACGCTTATATATTCTCAAAGTAACAATTCCTTTTCTTCTGGTAACGTAGCAAATTGTTGATTTACATATGTATCAGTTACTTCACTTAAAGTTTTTGGATTCCATATTGATTTTTGATCTTTATCTATTAACAGGGCTCTAACACCTACAAGAAATCAAATTTGCAATATCAAGTATGTAGTATACAGTGAACAAAGTTTCTTGAGAGAAATATATTAGGCAATTCAAAAATATAGTTACCTTCGCAAAAATCATTAGTTTTACATAAACCATAATTATATCCTAATCTGAATTCCATCTTTAAACAATCTGCTAAACTGAGGGTGCCTCCATTTTGAATAGCACTCATAGTAATTTTTAATGATGTTGGAGACATTTTCAACAATGTCTGTATGGTTTTTTCTGCCCATTCAGATTTATCTTCTTTTAATCTTCATTAATACATAAAAAAGTATCGTCAATTAGTATGTCTTTTTAATTCTTGTAATTAGGCATTATAACTAAATTACCTTTCTATTATTTCCTCTACAGAAGATGCAGAGAAACATTTGTCAATTTGAGTTATATATGGTGCCAATGAAAACTTATTATCTAAATTTTGAGGTTGATATTTGTCTAAAACCTTTGTAATATCAGGTACCTCATTTATTAGTAAATCTTGTTTTAAAGCTGGTAATTTCTCAGAAGGAACAAAGTGTGTTGCAATACCAGCAAGTAGTATGTCAATGCCTTTAGCACAATGGTGAAATTAGTATGAAATACTTTAAATGTACATACATGTTACTAATTTTGATAAACATTCTTACCTTTTAATCTTTCTCCTGTTAATCCAAGATAAAGTCCTAATTTCCCTTTTAATCTAGGTAAAAAATATGTTCCACCAACATCAGGAAATAATCCTATTGCTGTTTCTGGCATTGCAAATAAAGTTTTCTCTGTTGCAATTCGATATTTACCATGAACGGATAGTCCAACTCCACCTCCCATAGTTATTCCATTTATTAAAGCTACATATGGTATTTTATATGTACCAATTAAATGATTTAGGCTATATTAATATACAAAAAAATGGATATGTATAAATATATTTGTAGGCATATAAAATACACAATTTGTTTTAGATTTATTTCTGCAACTCACGTATATTCTTTTCTAAAAAATGCTTCACCCAATTCTTTATTGCCTTCTCTTACTGCAACAACAATAGATTTTACATCACCACCAGCACAGAATGCTTTTTCTCCTGCGCCTTCTATTATTACGAATTTTTTAGATGTTTCCCATTGTTTAAGGGCTGGATATATTTTCTCAACCATTGATAAATTTAAGGCATTCAAGGCTTTTGGGCGATTTAATGTTATAATACCTTTATTTCCAGTCTTATTTGAGAAAGAAAAGTTATTTGATGCGGTACTAATTTTTTATAAACATATTAATAGTATATACGTACATCTTTTATCAGTACATCATCTTGAGTATTTGCTTGTACATCTTTGTATGTTGTACTTCTGTTTGGTACTGGAATTTCAATAGGCGGTTTAGATTCTGGCACAGGTTCAGTTTGAGGATACGATTGAGGAAGAATGGGTTCAATAATAGGGCCTAAATTTGAAAAACTATTAATATATAATTTCAACATTTATGTTTAATTGACAGTTATTGCATTATTAAACAACAAAACTTTTATTGTTACTGATTTTACAAATAATGTTTAATCTTGTTAGTGGAAATAAAATAAGTATCTTCTCTGATAGAACCTGGTATTTCTATTACAGGAGTCTGTGTTGGACATGGTACAGTAGGAAATGGTATTGATGGCATTGGTTCAGGTGGTGTCACAATGGGCTTTAGATTTTGATCATGGAATTTAGCATCTATATTCTTACCTGTACTATTAGTTTGTGACGATAAAAATCTAAAACTAGTTATTGGACTAGAGCCTATACAACTGAGTTTTAATGTACCATTTTTAATCTGATAAAAAAAAAATATGTTAAGTTATTTTATTATGTATTCGTTAAATATAACTAATAATTACCATTTTCGTTGTTTACTATTTATTTCTTCTGTAAGGTGAACACAAGTATTAAAAATCCAACACATACAATTCACTAAATAAATAATATGTTAAAACGTTTATACGAAATGATTTAACACAGGTTATGGAGTTTTATAAAATTAATGTGTTGACATTCTTATTTTCCAAAACGGTATGCACAATGAAATGAATGAAATAAATATAATCAGTTATATACATATATATGTATTTCGGAATCATGAGACGAAAGGCATTACGGCATTACACAGCAAAGTTACAAAGATACATATTAATATTACATTCAATAATGTTCAGTACATCTTCGACTTACGAATACTAAGCGATATTTGGATTCTATATGATTGTACACATTGATAATTATTATAATAAAGTACATTTATACATGAAAAGTGTATGTTCATCCAGGGCCGTTCCTGAGTTGTTGGCCGCCCGGGTGCAAAAAGGTATCGCTGCCTTTATTAATTTAATATTATTTAATTAAGAATTTGATAAGCAGTGTTTACTTTCACATCTACCCTGTCAGCCAAACCTGCTCTAAACAAATATTACTAGATTCTGCTGTACACGTGATGTGCAGATTTGCTACAAATTTGCTAGAGGGTCTGCTACATCAGTACTGTCAGTAAACTTGCAGCAGTATTATAACAGGCATAGTGACATGATTTGACGTCAGAAATTGAAGAGACCTGCTAATATTCTGACGACTGCTCACGTTGCAAATGCAGTAGAACTGCACTAACTTACTTTACTACAGATTAAATCGATTACACTTCATCTAAATGCATCTGCAATCGATATTTAAGTATTTACAAAATTAAATGTATATGTTAACAAATATTAATAATATATGTTAATAAAATAGACACGTGTCACGTATAAAATAAAAAATTCGGATATTTACCCACCTCTGAATGCAACATACCATAAAATATATATAGGTTTTCAAAAATTGACATTTATTCTAAATAAAATTAAATATCGTTTAATCTTAATGATTCCCAATAACGAAGGCTTGATTATAATAACGAACAATACTTCGTTATATTTTAATAACTTTGATCCAATGTTTTTCTACATTTAATACAATTTTTAATTATTTTAAAAGGGAAACAGTAAACAAAATTTCATTCAATTATTTTTTGACATAAACAGAAGGCTTAGATCGGGGCCCCCCTTGAAAGTGGGGCCCGGGGCTAAGCCGCCCCTAGCTCCCGTTCCCCTTATTCTGGCGCTGCCCACCTAACTAGTGATGGGATTTGAAAAGCTTCGAATCGCTTCTAAAATGTCTTGAATTCGAACGACAAATTCGAATCACTTCGAATCTGATTCGAAGCTTAAAAGCTCTTGAACGGATTCAAAGCTTAAAAACTTTTGGAAGTCTTGAACGGATTCGAAGTCTGAAGCGGTCTTGGTAGCCTTGAGCATCTTGGAAGTCTTGAATGTGTTGAAATTATTGATAAGTTTTGCAAGCTTAATGAATATTCCATATCTTACAGGCTTTTTGATGATGTACTTTTGTTCATGCAGTATAATTGACATGAGATATTAAAGAATGTCCGAAAATTTCGAGTTATAAATACATTTATTTATTTATTTTTTGGGGGAGGGAGGGAGAAATTTGAGGCAGAAAATGTAAAAAAATTGAAAACGTTTCCCAATGATTGGGACACAATATGTGTACAAATAAGTTTATTGCTTATATGTATTGTTTATAAAATCACAAAATTGTATTTACACTTAATGTAGTGTGGGATACAGTTGAAAGGAAAATACCAAACAGTGGTGATTTTAGAAAAATAGTATATATAAACTATATTAATTAAATAAAACGATGAACTAAAAGTACGAAAAATTGCTATAGAATAATATAGTATCATTTTCCAGTAAAACATGTAAACAACTAAATTACATTAGCCATTTCTATTCAAAGATTATTTAGAACAAATATTCAAGCAATGATGTACATCTCACATGTCCTGAGGATATCTCGAGGTCATAAATTTTAGACATCGCAAAGACGTCTATTTCACATGTCTCGAGGACATCCTCAAGACATGAATTTCAAACATCGCAAAGACGTCTCTCTCACATGTCCTGAGGACATCCTGAGGACATGAATTTCAGACGTCGCTACGACGTGTCTTCTGGTACATCTTCCAGATGTCTCCAGGACGTGAATTTCATACGTCATTAGGATGTCCTATTTCAGACAGCTTTAAAATATCTTTATTAAGTCCTAAGACATTCAGACCTAAAACAGCTATAAAACAGACATCTTGAAGATGTCGTGTGCTATCTGGGCTGGCATTGTTATACGTTTATCAGCTTACATAACTAATAACTACTATATTCAATATGAAGTAAGCATGATACGATATATAGTTGATTACAGACTCCTCTCGATTATCGTCAGGCTTGTTTCACACGATTATTGTCCAGACGTTATCCCCGCCGCTTTTGTTTTCTTCTGCAAAAAACGAATTTACGAGGGTCTGAAGCATTTCCCCCTATATGATTATTGTCCCAGCGCGGACCCGAGTTGGGGACGATAATCGAGAGGAGTCTGTATAACTGTAAATATCTAAAAACATTGAAACATTGTATTAAGGCTATAATATATGCACGGCACTTTCTGTGATGAAAAATACACGAGTTACATGCGACACCATGTGTATAGTATTCCGTCCTGAGCAGCTGGGCGACAGAGTAGAGTATGCGCACGTGTGTCAGAAATACGTGTGAGCGAGGGGCGTCCCAGCGATCAGTTAAGGGACACTCATTTATTGGGCTTCAACTGTAACATTCACTGTTTGAAGTTGTTAGAAATGCATCAAAGAGAAATAAAAGACTTAATTTTTATATATAAATATGTATTTTTCTACATAAACATTGAATTATGTAAAGTTTCTAAGTCCTTTTGTCTTTCCAATTCGCGTTGTTTTTCTTTTCTGTACGTTTCATAATCTTCATCATCTGTTGGTAACTGATGTCTGCAGAGCGGGCAAGAGTTCGTCTGAAAGTGCAAAAACTTCTTTATCGACGAAGTCGTGTAATTTGTGTACAAAATCCGCAACGATGACTAGTAAAAATTGATACCTTTTCTAACCATGGTATTATACATTCCTTATGAAAAACATGTTCACAAGGCATGCACTTTGCAAATATTCCATCTTCGAACTCTTTTAAACATACAGGACATTGTTCTGAATCAGAAGAAGTCGTTTCAATTTCTCTTAAGTTTTCTATTGCAGATTTCGAAGCAGGTGGTGGCAATCTGGTAGTTTGACCCAACAAATCCCACATACCAAAATCACGTAAAAGCCTTGCCATGTGTATTAAATGATTTGGTGCCTCACCGTCTTCTAACGGTGTCCAACCCATTTCATCGAAGTAGTCGGACATGCTCTAACAGAGGAATTTATTCAGACTGGAGTGGCTGTTATGACACTGTTCACAATCACTAGCCGCAATTTTAATTTTAGGTTGTAAAATTAATTTACACGCAGCAGAATTTATACACTTCGTATTCACTATGTACAAGCACAGACCAGATATAAGAATAGACCAAACATGCAATGTAATTTTCTGTCCCATGCTTCGGGGGCGTCAGAAGCCCCTGTCCATATCAGTATTGCATTCCTTGTTAGCGACCGATGCAATAATGTATGTATGTATTATTGCTATATGCAGTCATGGGTGTTGTGTGCTGTGCGTTATCATAGCATCGAACGTAGTTCCTGAAATAGGAACCTTTTATAGAGAAGTGCGCTCGAACCAGCGTGATTTTCGTGGGACACGAAGTCCCATAAGATGTTAGGTCTATTCTTATATCTCGTCTGTGGTATAAGCCAATCACTACAGCTGATGTCACAGCCGACTCTAGTACTAGCTGTGCTGAACAACGTGGCAACACTGCTCATGGAGAATTCGGGAGTTCTATTTTCAATAGTACAGTTTTGTGCTCAGTGTTATAATTAACGTTATTTTTTATATAAAACCATACATATTATAAATAAAATAATACATATTATAAATATATTATAAAAACATAAATATTATAACTATAGTAAGTAGAAGTAATATAGGTGTATACTAATATTTATACATGTGGTATATATTTTGTGGACATTCGGAATAGTTTGGTGTTGTGATGTATTATATTTGAAATATTTCCAGTGGTTTCAAGAAAATATAAGAGTGAAGCATGATAAAACCATCTTTGAACCAAATTGAAGCATTTAAAAATTGATAAAGGTATGTGTAAGTTAATAGAAACCTCAAATAGACAAAATTATTTGTACGATGCCAAACTGGTTAAGGGACATGTGGAAAATAGGTTAGGATAATTCGCTATTGAAAGGAACAATTATGCAGTTAATTATGAACTTGTGTTAGAGAACAGTTTATTATTTACAGTTTTCACATAATCATTTAATAAAATATTCGAAAAAATTGACAATAATTTAAACGAAATACTCTGGTAACTGAACCAAAAATGTATGTATCTGAAAATGCTAAATAATGTATATCTGATTGAATACTAATGTATGTTAATTTATATAAAATATGTTTATGATTTTCAGATTGCAAAAATTGAGATTACAAATTACCATCATTTAGTATGGCTTCCATTATTGCATACATATGAATAAATGAGGTTATGACTTCTTCAGTGGGAACACAGGCCCCCTCTTTGTAAGTGATCAAAATATACATTGCCTACAGTTTTACCTTTATCCTACGCAATTAATAATCAAGATATATTGCAATTTTATTTTTTAGCAACAGAGTGGGACCCATAACCAGATATGTAAATTTTAATGGATCATCTACAACACAATTGGACAAGTATTCAGTATCCTTAACAAAACCTTCTCCAGTATACCATTGGGTGATAGAATACTTTGGTACCTTTGCATATCACTTTCTGCAAGATGCAGACTGCAAATGGCAGAATATTTTGTTGGCGTCCAATTTTGAACGAGGAATAGCAGCCGTTTATTTTTTCCGCAATTCCTCATCTTTGGGGAATACAAATACAGATATATAATTACTATCTTTTAAAGTACTATCATAATTTCACTTACAATTGGGAACACAGCAACGTTGTGGCATTATTAATAAACATATGAAAATTATAAACAAAAATATATGTAAAACTAAATTTCCAAAAAGGCTATATATTTTATTAAATAAATGTGCTACACACAAACAAATGATATGTAATTTTATGTAAAATCAACCTGGATTATTGTACTGTTTCTTACATTCGAAGGATTACAATAATTTAAACCACAGACGAGATATAAGAATGGACCTAACATGCAATGTAATTTTCTGTCATGCTTCGAGGGCGTCAGAAGCCCCCTTACCATTTTAGTGTCAATACCCGACGTTACCGATAAAGCATGAATTCTGAGTATTATTAGCACAAATGAAGTGTTATATATTCCGTTCATATTGCGTGTATCTATATGATTTGACGGGAATAAAAATATCCGATGCTTCAGTTTAAGGTTAAGGGATAAATATGACAGTCATGAAACATGAAACGGAAAAGTATATATTTTTTCACTTAACTACAAGACAATTTATTCTAAATGCATCGTTAGTGGACATTACTTTTTACATCTTCTTGTTTTATTCGTTTTTATATCTTGCCTTACTTACAAAAATTTACTTACAAAAATTTTATTTATTGCGAGTAATTAAATAATGAACGGATGTTAATATTCAGCTACGTGTCTCTCAGATTAAGTGAAATACAGAAGTTTTATTTTCTTGAAAATTAGTGTCAAAGAATGCAGCAACTGGTCAGATTAGTTTCGTAAATAAATCGAAACCCTGTATCGGCACATTGTTTTTTAGGCTATCAAATATCACACGGAGTCTTTTAGGAAGTAGTAAAATCTTTTACACAAATTCAATGAAATACTTTCAGGTACCCAGTTTAGGGCTATGAAATTAGAATGTTCAAGAAGATGTAAAGAAGTTTCATATTTGCAATTATTTTGTGATACTGTAATAGAAATCGGTATCCTGTGAGAAAAATCGTATTTAACGATATGAAACGAATAATAAATAATGATCTTAGCAATTTATACTGGAGAGCTATATCTTTAAAAAGAACATGTCGTTTAAACAAATTAGTTAAAAATGATATTTATTTGGGGAATATAAACATCATAAATAAACGAGAGCGGGAGAGCGAGCCGCCGGTATCAGTGCTCTCCGTCTGTGTCGACGCGTACCGAACGATGCCGAAGATGGTCGGAGCGGGCGAACGGGTGAGAGCGACAGCAGTACAGCGAGCCGCGGTATCGGTGCTCTCCGTCGGTGTTGGAGGAATTTCAGAGGTCTATGGGGGGAGGTGTGCGAGCGAGAGAGTTCGGTAAAGCGTGCCGCGGTATCGGTGCTCTTCGTCGGTCCAACACGCTAGTGACGTTGCGTCACACAGTTCATTGACCTAGACGTGTACGCAACAGGTCAAACCTGCGTACGCCCAATACATCACAGCGTTAGCTTCTTCACTTTCTCGTGAGCCGTCGTGCAGGGTGGGCGCGCGTCTCATACTCGTCCTTTCTCTTGTTACTAACCCATTGTTTGTTGCAGGCATTCGACATTCATCAATTTATTTACTGTGCATATTATTAATTTATTTACTGTGCATATTGTTGTGTCCCCTCTCTTGTTACTAATCCCTTGTATGTTACAGATGTTCGAGAACCATTG